GTTCAAGGCCAAGGAACCACTGCAGCTGGTACACTCGGATGTCTTTGGTAAAGTCAAACAATCATCAATTGGTGGAGCACATTACATGGTGACATGTATTGATGACTACTCGAGGCATGTATGGGTGTACTTCATGAAGGAAAAATCAGAAACTTTCGAAATGTTTAAAAGGTTCAAAAAGGAAGTTGAGTAGACAGTTGGCAAGAAAATTCAGTGCCTTCGAACAGACAATGGGGGAGAGTATACATCAAAGGAATTTTCAGATTATCTACAAGATAATTGTATTCGGCGACAACTAACTTGTCCATATACTCCTTAGCAAAATGGAGTAGTTGAACGGAAGAATAGACACCTTGGAGAAACATGTCGAAGCATGTTGCATGCTAAGAATGTGCCACCTAGATTTTGGGCAGAGTGCATGAAGACTGCAGCCCATGTGATTAATAGGCTTCCTCAAGCTACTTTGGGATTTATATCACCTTTTGAGAAGCTGTGGAACATTAAGCCAATGGTGAGTCATTTTCGCGTCTTTGGCTCGATGTGCTATGTGTTTGTTCTAGAAGCTCAAAGGACCAAGTTTGATAAAAAGGCAGTCAGATGCATTTTTCTTGGCTATGATGACCAAAGGAAAGGATGGAGGTGCTGTGACCCAAATACTGGACGTTGTTGTGTTTCTAGAAATGTTGTGTTTGATGAAGCATCTTCTTGGTGGTCTCCACAAGAGGTAGTGTTGCCAGATTCCAAGGAGTTGGAGGAAAAAGTACAAGAAAAATTTGGAGAAGATACTTGCAGGCTATTGGATACTCAAGAAATTGTAGAGAAGGAAAAAGAGATAGCTCCTGAAAGAACAGTAAGTCCATGGCAAACAGGAGTACGAGAGCCCATGACTGAAGAAACAAGACAAGGTGAAGTAGAAGAAGCAGAACAACAGCCTGAGCAGCAGCTAAGACGCTCCACTCGAGAGCGAAAGCCAAATCCCAAGTATGCTAATATTGCTCTTATTGAAGCAAGTCCGGTGACCGAACCGGAGAACTATGAGGAAGCTGCACAAAGTATTGAATGGAGAAAAGCAATGGAAGAGGAGATAAAGGCTTTAAAGCAAAATCAAACTTGGGAATTAGTACCCAAGCCAAATGATGTAAAGCCAGTATCTTGCAAATGGGTCTACAAAGTTAAGACTCGACCAGACGGGAAGATAGAGAGATATAAGGCCAGGCTTGTTGCTCGAGGGTTCTCTCAACAGTATGGGATAGACTATGATGAAACTTTCAGTCCAGTGGCTAAGATTAATACTGTTAGAGTCCTGCTTGCTTTAGCTGCAAGCAAATCATGGAAGCTGTGGCAGATGGATGTGAAGAATGCATTTTTGCATGGAGAAATTGATAGAGAAATTTATATGGAGCAACCATGTGGATTTGAAGATAAAAGGCATTCAGAGTATGTCTGCAAATTAAAGAAGGCACTGTATGGACTCAAGTAGGCACCGAGAGCATGGTACGGAAAAATTGCAGAATTTCTAGTTCAAAGTGGCTATTCAATGACAGTTGCTGACTCAAGCCTATTTGTCAAAACTCGAGACAACAAAGTAGCAATTGTGCTTGTCTATGTGGATGACTTAATTGTCACCGGAGATGACATTGGAGAAATTCTTCAAACAAAGGAGAACTTGTCAGTATGGTTTCAGATGAAGGAGTTGGGAGAATTAAAGCACTTTCTTGGACTTGAAGTGGATCGGACAAAAGAAGGCATATTTTTGTGTCAGCAAAAGTATGTAGTAGATTTATTAAAGAAGTTTGGGATGCTTGAGTGCAAGCCAATCTCAACTCCAATGGAGATGAATGCCAGACTCTGCTCCCATAAAGGGAAGGACTTAACAAGTGCCACCATGTACCGGCAACTGGTCGGAAGCTTAATCTATTTGATTTTATCAAGGCCGAATATATCATTTGCAGTAGGAATGGTGAGTAGATTTATGCAAAATCCTAAAAAGTCACACTTGGAAGCAGTACGCCGGATTCTCAAGTATGTCAAAGGAACACTGGATTATGGCATATTATACAAGAGTGGCACAGAGTGTAAGGTGGTTGGCTATTGTGATGCTGATTATGCTGGATGTCATGACACAAGAAGATCCACTACTGGTTATGTGTTTAATTTGGGATCTGGAGCAATCTCATGGTGCAGCAAGAGACAACCTACTGTTTCTTTATCAACCACTGAGGCAGAGTACAGAGCAGCAGCTGTGGCAGCCCAAGAAAGCACCTGGCTTATGCAATTAATGGAAGACTTAAAGCAGCCAAGTGATTATTCAGTAAAATTGTATTGTGATAATCAATCAGCAATTCGGTTAGCAGAAAATCCAGTGTTTCATGCCAGGACAAAACATGTTGAAGTTCATTACCACTTCATCAGAGAAAAGGTACGACAAGAGGAGATAGAAATGCAAGCTACAAAAACAGATGAGCAAGCCACAGATATATTCACAAAAGGGCTCAACGTTGGAAAGCTTGAAAAGTTTCGCAAGCTGCTCGGGATGATGCCAAGAAGCAAAGTCGGTGCTGAGGGGGAGTGTTAAAGTATTCATCACCGACTTAAGCTAAAAGGTGAAGAAGTAAAAGTCTTCTAGAAGCATATATTTTACTATAAAGTAAATTGAAGCCACACAAGAATAT